TACTTCTAGCCAAGGAAACCATGTGCTAAAAGTGTACAAGACCAGTTCTGTCAACACCTTAGTGTGAAGAAGCCCAACACCTCCCTGAATAGGTATAGCTAGTAGTGGTTGATGAGGGTGGGAACATACATTTTCTTCAATGGTGTAAGCACTGGTAAGGTGCCTATGTTCCTGTAAATCACTCTTCCTCAATCCTCATATGGTAAGCAGCCCCAATGACATTCATTGGTTGTAAAGAAAAAAAATCAAGAAAAGGAAATAGAAAGACTAGTTGGGAAGAGGAAGGGTATGAGTAGAAGTGAAAAGTGCTATGATAAAAAAAAAAAACCCTGCCCTGCTTGTGCTCAGGGCCCTCTGCTCTCACTAATGTATGGGACAGACAGACCAAGCTCTGGAGCTTGAAAAGAAAGGCTCTTTACTTTTACATGTGGGATATGGTCTCCAAGGTGGTCCTTTGGGGGTCCCCATGATCTGAGCATAACAGGCCACTGCCCAGAGCAACATATGGGCCAAGAGAACCCATCTGTCTCATGGTCCATTAAACTCCCAACAGATCTGACAGCTCAGGCAACCTGCTCCTCCTGCATGGAAGGCAATACCCACTCACCATGGTGTGCTTTATAGTCTCCCTTACGACTCTCTATAGCTGCATTAGAGGAGAACTTTAGAAAAAAAAATCTACCCCCCACTGGTGCTCCTGATAGCTAGACTTGTCCACAATCCCTCAATAGCTAGTATTACCTGACTGGGTCTCAGGACAGTATCAGTTCCCCTACCTGAAAAGCAGAGATCAAATGACTAAGGCAGCACAGGTCTTCCCAGCTCTGCCCAATTTGTATTTTATTAGAAACTCTTCCAATCCCTCAGAGTACTTTCTGTTCCTCTTTCAAGATACAGTGTACTGTGTGTGTGTATTCCATTACACAGTTACTTATCAGTACAGCCAACCCTTTCCTTCATAGCTGGGAAATTCTACAACCAAACATAGGTCAGATGCAAACACTAACAGTTGTTAAAGCAAAAAGAGGCCATGAATTAGAAGAAAACAAAGTGTCTATCTATGGAAGGGCTTACAGGCAGGAAAAAGATAATGGAAATGATGAATATAATCTTCAAAATTATTTTAAAAATTTGCAACAGGCTTTATGGCCATGTGCTCCAGAGACTGGGAATTTGTATTAGAGCACACCAAGAATTAGCCACACATTTTCTCTCAGGCTATACATCTTAAACCTGTAAAATAACAGTTCTTTTAGGGGATGGTCAAACCATTTTATCCAGTTCTATTTTGGTCAAACTAGTGTAACTACTGCAAATTTGGTTTCATGATAAGTTCAGTTCTTTATCCAGATTCTTGATTACCTAATCTGTGGGTGTAAGGGAAGGCCAGTCAGAACATTTATCAATCATCTAAAATTGATTACCTCACTACTTATTTCTAATGTTAGCCAATCACATTCTCACTAGATTCCACGGTCCGCTGACCATACCACATTGATGATTTTCATCTTGGATAACCTTTAAATCCTGAAATTCCCCCTGCCACTTTCTAAGTACCATGATTAAAGGTCTATGCAACCATTCCAGGATTAGGTAGCTTCCACTTCATTTAGTGAACCATTATAATGACGGAATGAGGAAGATGAGCAGTTACACTTAAGTATAGTCAAAGACCACTTATCTCTGTGTGCCTGGGTTTCACCATCTGTAGAATAAGGACAATATTCTGCCCTAGTCCCTTGGTGAATTATAGTTGACTCAAAGATAAAGAAAAAGAATACTGCTCATTGTTGGAAGACAGTGGACTTTAAGGGAGGAGTGCTGTATTTGATGTAAGCTGCCTTCCGTTACTGCAATTAGAACCAGAACCTGTGTCCTGGCTATTCTAATCAGCCAGGCTCAGGCACTCACCCTTATTAAGCCAATTAAAAGAGCCAAATTATACTAGGTGGTGGGGATACAGGACTTTAACCCTGACACTTGGGATGTAGACACAACTAGATCTTTGTAGATTCAAAGCCAGCCTGGTCCACCTATAAATCAGGTAGGAGAAAAGGTGGGTAAATCCCTCTGATGTTCTAGAAGAGCCTAGTATATACAGTCAGTTGCAGGCCTGCCAGATATTCATACTGAGACTATTATTTAACATAAAAAAGAAACAATAGAAAAGAGAAGAGAAAAATCATTAATAAAAATTGTAAATGTGACACTTTTTCAGTGTGACTTATTTGGAACAGTAATGAAGATAAAGGTAATTAATCCATCCTTGGGAGTCCTAACATGTTTAGATGATGGCAAGAGATGACAACTAAGTAATATAACTAAGCCATATAATGAAAATTTTCTCATCTACAAAACACTTCTGCAACCTCAAATCTAATCTCTCCCGCAAGGTGGTCAGATAAGAAGTAAATCTTTTTTCAGTAGAGACATTCTTATCAGAAGTCAGATGTTTCCCACAATGAAATTATCAGGGAAATTAGAATTTCATGGTTTCTACTGTTTCACTATTTTTTAGACAAAGGGAGAGATATAAATGTCTCTTCAACTATCCTTATTTCTGCCAGGCAGGCAGGTACCTGGGATTAATGGGATGGACACTGAGGTGTGTTAAGGTCTCAGTGGGGACTGCAAAGTGGGGGCTGCAGGGTATTGTCACTAACAGCTAAATGAGTTGCCATAAACACCAAGAGTGGAAGATGTAGATGGGGGCCGATTCACCACAGCTCAGTGGATAGAGTACATTCATGCCAGCTTGTCCTCACCTACACCCCATGCACTGCTCAGGGACATTTGATCCTAGGGCTTTTACACCCAAGGCTCCCTCACTAACAATTCTTTCAATTCTACAGATCATTGTAAATGCCTGATTGCCTTAGCCTTAGAATGACTTCAGTTTAAGTCTCAGGATCTCCTGACGACCTGGATGTCATCTAGAGTCACCACCATTCAGAGCTCTTAACTGAAGGTTTTGCAGGCATCAGGAGAGTAGAATATGATCCCATTCAGACAAGTCAGACTTCATGTCTGAAAGTTCCTTTTCTCTCTTATAGGAGGTATTAACTCAGGCAGGCATACACCTGACATGTGAGCTTCTGGAATCCCATTGCTGCCAATTTACCAAATTGGAGATAAACCCACTCTTGTGGCTTTGGTTAAATGGTCAACCACCATTCAAAAACTTTTATTGTGAGTTTCTGTCCTGATCATCTTTTGTACTTTCCCCTCATTTTGTGGAGATTTGGGCTTGGAAAATTCTTTAAGTACCAAGTCTAACTTACTTTCTGATGCTATCAATCTTATATTTCTTCTGGATCATCAGGGCTGAGGTAAAGATGAACTTAGATGAGCCATTCACAACTTAGTGTCATTAATGACATGTTCATGGAGCTGAATAGAAGCCTCAGCACTTAGAACACTGACTGCTCATCCACAGGGCCTGACTTTGATTCCCAGTTCCCCAAGACAGCTCACAACTGTCTGTACCTCCAGTCACAGGCATCAGACACTGTCTTCTTGTCACCACAGGTACACTGGAAATACTTATACACCTAAATTATATTTCATTCTTTAAGACTCATGAAGAAAACCCTTTTTACAATATGGAATCACATCCATATCTGTCTTTTCACCATTTTCATATCTGGTACCCTAGGAGGCCAGAAGAATGCACCAGATATCCAGGACCTGCTAATACAGGGAGTTCTGACCAATCTGATGTGGGTACTAGGAACCAAACTTGGCTACCCAAGAGAAGCAGTACTAGTGAGCCAACTTTCCATGTCCCAAAAATGTCATGATAAAACCAAAGATGAAGATGTCCCACTGCTCCTATCAATTAAAGGTGATGAAAGTCCACGCTAGATAGTTGTCAAAGCATTCAATGGATTTCTATACCTCTGTGAATGGAGTCTTCAAATTCTATAATTTAAATGGTTAATAATTTTAGGTGTCTATGATCTACTTCCCCTATCTGAGTTCTAGTGATGAAACCTCGGGAGCCATTTGGCTGCAAGTGACCTCAATGGCACTTATATGGCTTTAAAAAGTATTTATGTATGAGCTGATGTAGGAATATGCACATGCTACCCCCCAAGTGTAGAAATAGGAGAAAAAAATGTAGGAGTAATATGTGTCATCCAGAGATAGAACTCAGGTCATCAGGATTAGCAGCAACAAACTTTACTGAATAAGGCAATTATTTGGCATTCAATTATGGTTCTCAGAAAGTATTATGAACAAATGCATAGTCTTCAGAATAAACAAATTAAAAATGAATGGTAGTATATGTATTTTCATATGGAAAGTGGATTTAGTATTCAAATTGTCCTGTGTTCTTCTATCCTTGTATGAATTATGTTTACAATCTGAAAAGAAGACAATAGTTTACTCATGTAATATTTCTACTAATCTTATTTGAGCACCAGTGAGACAGCTCAGTTGGAAAGGCCTGTTGTGTGCAAGGCTAGAAACCTGACCTTGATCACCATATAAAAAGGATGAAAAGTAGACAGCACAAAGGTTTCTTCTGGTCTCCACATATCTGCCATGGCCTACAATCCCACAATTACATTATACATGCACTGTAAATGTTAGTTACAAAATAAATGTTAGTGCCATTACATTATCAGGCATCTCTGGAAAATTCCCTTAGAAGGCAGTACTTCAAGATAAAATGACAAATGGTTAGCTACTGGGGATAGAGAGAAGCATGGAATGTCAAATTTTATATATATATATAAAGCTATGGTATGAACAACACAGTTGATTGCTGGTTATCCTACTTTATTTATTATTTTTGGTTTTTGAAGACAGGGTTTCTCTATGCAGTTTTGGTGGTTGTCCTGTATCTCACTCTGTAGACCAGGCTGGCTTTGAACTCACAGAGATCCACCTAGCTCTGCCTCCTGAGTGCTGAGATTAAAGGCGTGCACCACCACCGCCCAGCTATCCTATTTTATTACATCACTATCAGAAAAATGAAATTACTGCTTTGAATATACACATGAGGTGTTTAATGTTTATTATATTCTCCTCTATCAAGCACTTTAACATTAACATTATTCAATAGTGTTGACAAAACAGCAATATTGGGAATACATCATCTACTCTTGGACTTGTACTTAGGAGGCGGACACATGAGGATCATGAGTTCAAATTTATCCTTGAATCATTATTGATATCCAAGCCAGGCTGAATAAGAAACAACAAAATCTCAAGGGAATTTGTAAAAATATGAAAAACAAAACCAGGAAGAACAACCTACCATCCTTTCACAGATACCGTTACTTAAAAATTATGATCACACACTGTGTGATATTTAAATAAACAATGGAACATTTAGATGATGGGGATCCTGTTCTATACATCATAGCAGAAAAATACCCATCACTAAATAAAAGCACAATAGAAGATCAACAAAAGCCACAGAAGAAATATAAGGACCACAAAATAAACTTCACTAAATGGATTTGCCACACATATAGCACACTTTAGTATCTACCTCACATTTTTCAAACTAGAAACTACAATGCAGGGATCACCACCATCAGTTTGAGTGGACAAGGTAAGTAATTTACTACTTTTAAGGATACAATGAAAAAGAAATAAAACAATTTTTCCCTAATCTTAAGACAAATTTGATGTCTAAAGTTTTTACCAAATGGTTTACATAAATAGGGTTTTTCTCTTGTATGAGTTTGTCCCTATTTCCCAATTTCAAAATTATATAAATAGGCTTTAAAATATTTACAGGGCTAGAGACATGGCTGGACAGTTAAGAAAGTTCATTCACGGGACCAAGTACTAATTTTTGACAACTTCCTGTAATTCATCCTAAAAGAGATCCAAGGGTCTAAACATTCTCAGGAACCAGTATGCACATTCACATACATACACAAACACACAACATATCAAATAATTAAAATTAAAACAACTCTTTAAACAATTTTTCACTGATAAAAGTTTTTCTCTTCTAAGCATTTATTCCTATAACACAGGTGTTGAGGTATCTAACAGTTTACTTACAGAGTTTTTTCTTAATCATGAATTGGATCATGTAACAGAAAACAAACATGTGGACTTGAAGTCAGAGAAATCAACCCTTGTAAGTTGGTGGTATCATTTGGGAAGATTTAGGAAATGCTGCCCTGCTGGGGGAAATATGTCAGTAGGGGTAGACTTTGAGAATTTGCATCATACACCATTTCCAGTTCCCACTCTCTACTTCATGCTGCAGGTTAAGGATGTAAATTCTTAGCCTCCTGCTTTAGCTGCTATGTCTGGCATTTGTTGCCATGCCAATTGGTATCCCTCTGGAACCAAGAGTCAAATTTAACTCTCTTATAAGTTGACATACATATTATATCACAATAACAGAAAAGGAACTCATACCAATCCATAGTTTTAGTCCTGCATTAATTATTTCATGTAATTAAAGGAAGTATAAAATCTAAAAGAGTTACATTAACATTTAAATTTATAGTACAAGAGTTCCAGCTCTGGAGAGAAAGGTACCATGACTGTTGGAAGTCTGGCTGTACCTACAGCTGTGAAAGGAAAGTACCCTGGATATCTACAGCTGTGAGGGAAAATATCCTGACTGTTAAGAAGTCAGGCTATACCCACAGCTGTGAACAAAAGGAATCCTGGATATCTACAACTGTGTGGAGAAAGGTATCCTGGCTGTTGGGAAGTCAGGCTATACCTGAAGCTGTAGAGGGAAGATATCCTGGATACCTACAGCTCTGAAGACAAAGGTACCCAGAATGTCACAAATCAGGCTATACCTACAGCTGTGAAGGGAAGGTATTATGGATACCTACAGCTGTGAGGAGAAAGGAATACTGATTGGTAGGAAGTCAGGCTGTACCAGAAGCTGTGTTCTGGTGGGGGAATGGTCTCCCTCCAGGACATGCTAATACTGCTGTTCTCTGAGAGAGATCCATTACACTTGGGCTCTGCTTCACTCTGCTAAGAGAGATGCCGAGGGGAGATACCAATTGCTGCTCTGATCCACTCTCCTAAGGGAGTTTACCAGCACAGTTTCTACTGCTTCACTAGGGAGTTTCCCAGCAGAGTTTTCCATTTCTTCTCAGCCCTGGACCAATTGTTACTTCTCTGCCTCACTCAACTAATGGGGAACTCTTGTAGAAATGCAGCAGTCTGCTCTGGCTCTGGTGAAAAGTTGCCATGTCTGCTTTGCTCCCCTAATCTAGTTTCCCAGAAGAAGTGTCCCTTGTTTCACTGTTCCACTACACTAGGAGTTTCTCATCAGAGATGTCCATTGCTTCTCTGCTCTGTTCCATTAGGGAGATTCCCAGCAGAGATACTGCTCTGCTCTGGTGAAAGGTCTTCAACCAAAACTATTTAGGAGGGAGGAATCCAGGAGAGTGGCTGCCTCTAGCAGAGTAGAAAAGGGCAGCTGCCAACTGAACAGGCACAGGGCATTTATGAGGCTTCTTAGGGGCTGAATGTTTACAGAGAGAAGATTCTAAGGGTGGGAATTGATCAGATTTCAATCCCAGAGATCAACCAAGCTCAGAGATTGGCTGAAATTACTGTTTAGTGATTGGTTAGTTTTGTGGTCAGGGATTGGTTGATTTTCCTGCTCAGGGATTTACTTGTTTTGTGCTCATTTGGTCAGGCATACAGTGTGTTTCTTTGGCTCTGGGTTCAGGCCAAAATGTATGTTTTTCACTGGCTCTGCTTTCAGGCTCCCATGTGTTCCTTTGGCTGGCCCCTTTACCCAACACATAGGGCTTCATAAATTCTTAAATTGATTTCTTCCATCAGTTTTCAGGGGGAAACAATATAAAAAGGACATCATAAAGCTCTATAGATGACTAACATTGTCAATTTTTTTCTATAGAATAAATACTCTTGTGTAACTCAATGCAAGTGTGTTAGATAAAGATCTTACCAAATACTTTATAATAATAATCCCTGTGTGTTTTAAAAGGTACTCAAAGACTATTGTAATATGCAAAGCCTTTAGCATATTGATTGCACACCAAGTTTTACTACTGCATAAAGTGCAAAACATTACCACATTGTTTATATTTTTAGTTTCTCTGCAGCATGACATTTTTTCATGATTTTGAAGATTACTGATGTATGCAAAGGGTTCACCACACTAATTACATTTTTTTAGGGTTTCTCTCCAGTATGTGTTCTTTTATGAGTTTGAAGATTACCCTGTTGTGTAAAGGCTTTACCACACTGACGGCATTCATAGGGTTTCTCTCCAGTATGTGTTCTTCTATGAATTTGAAGATTACCCTGTTGTGTAAAGGCTTTACCACACTGATTACATTTATAGGGTTTCTCTCCAGTATGTGTTCTTTTATGCTTTCGAAGAACACTATGACTTGCAAAGGCTTTACCACATTCAATACATTCATAGGGTTTCTCTCCAGTATGTGTTCTTGTATGACGTTGAAGATATCTTTGTTGTGCAAAGGCTTTACCACATTGAATACATTCATAAGGTTTCTCTCCAGTATGTGTTCTTGTATGGCTTTGAAGATTACTGTGATGTGCAAAGGCTTTACCACACTGATTACATTCATAGTGTTTCTCTCTAGTATGTGTTCTTTCATACCTTTGAATATGACTGTCATATGCAAAGGCTTTAACACACTGAGTATATACAGAAGGATTCTCTTCATTATCACTTCTTTCATGCCTGCAAGGAGAATTGGCACATGTAAAAGCTTTACCAAATTCAGTACACTGTTGAATCTTTTTGTATATATGAATTCATATTTCACTTTGGTCCATTTGTAAAGAGGAAACAGATCTTAAGGTTTTATCACCATGTTTACACTCATGTAATTCCCCTTCATTAAGGGTTGTTTTGAATCTTTTTTTTTTTTTTTTTTTTTTGGTTTTTCGAGACAGGGTTTCTCTGTGTAGCTTTGCGCCTCTCCTGGAACTCTCTTTGGAGACCAGACTGGCCTCGAACTCACAGAGATCTGCCTGGCTCTGCCTCCCGAGTGCTGGGATTAAAGGCGTGCGCCACCACCGCCCGGCTTTGTTTTGAATCTTTGAAGATGTCCCTGTCATGGTAAGATCCTTTATTACATGGTCCATATTCACAGAATTTTTTTTTCTATATGAGATTTCTCATAATTTGAAGAGAAATGGAAAAACTCAGAGCTTACTGCATTTATAAATTTTCCTTTACTTTGAGCCATACTATAGTCGTAGTACTCACAGGGCTTTTCTGCAGTGTGAGTTTGTTAATATGTTAACAATGAAGCTGCAAAATGAATTACTTGTATACTTGAATCAAATTCAACAAGTATACTCAACATGGTGACTGCTACATATCTTCTAATTATTCTGAGAGAGAGGTATGTTATGTCTGTCCATATCCCTATGCTCATATGGCTTGTATCTGGAGTGACATATGATATACTTAGTAAAGGAAGAATAACAAATAAAAGATTATCCCATCAAATGAACAGTTTGACTTTCTGTTTCTCATAGACTTGTGGTGTAGGGATTAAGATTTCTCCACAAAAAATGCCCCTGGACACTTCACTCTAACTGCTAATTTCACTGAACTTAGCACAACCACAACAAATATGTGAGTAACACTAGCTTTACTATGGACTATTTGTTTATTAAAATGTTTTAGAGATATACTTATCACCTCTTCAATGTGTATACCTTTTGTAATATGAGTGGTATGAAATAAAAAGATTGACAGTTCTACAGCATAGCTCTCATGGAGCAATGATTCAAATAATGATATCTATTAAGGCATTGCTTCCTTGTCTTCTTTCTTAAAAGAATGCCTTGCAAATGCAATTACCTACCTGAAATTAAGGTATATTGTTTAGGGAGAATTTAATTAGCATCAATGCACATGAAGCTGTGTTTATTTACACTGCTGCTTTTGTTAAAAACTTCCAGGACACATTAAAATTTCTTCAGGTGCACATTTGTATCAGCTGGCACATGATAATTACCTTTCATGTCTTCTAGAACTCTGAAAATGTTCTTCAATATTATGGTCTTCCCAACTGTATCCTAAAATATAGTACCAGAAAATGTGGGTTATATTATTGAAAATTGTGCAAAACTGAAGTTCCTATCTTCAGTGAACCTTAGAACTATGCCTGATTTATTCATCTCATTCTTTTTTCTCAATCAAATTACAGAAGAGCATCAAAAACCAAGGAACAGTTGTCTCCTTATTTGAAAACTTGAGGAAAATTCCCTCTTACCTATGGTAATGAGGTTCCTGTAGGTTTCTAGCATCACATCTTTGTAGAGATTCTTCTGGGAAGGATCCAGCAAAGCCCACTCTTCCCAAGTGAAGTTGACATGTACATCATTATAGGTCACTGCATTCTAAAATATCCGATACATGTGTATAACAGAAAGCATGATACTGACAACATTGTAAATGTATACCTCTTTGACAGTAAATTCATATATTCTGGTACTCCCCACAGTGATCCCATGACATAGACATTATAATGTAATCACCAAGTTACTTTAGAAGGAAACTGAATAGCAGGTTCACCTCTATCAATTTTGTACCCTGTGAATGGGATATCACCTTGCAATAGAAATACCTATTAAAAACCATAGATAGACAAATAAACAGATCCACAGTACAGAGTACACATGAAATTGTATGAGCAATTACTAACTACAACAAAGATAAATAAGTTGGACAAGCTGGGTGTATTGGTTCACACATTTAACTTCTACACTCAGAAGACAGACACAGATAAATCTGCCTTAGAGTTGAATGCCAGCCTAGTCCATGCAGTCAGTTTCAGGACAGCCTGAAGTACATATTAAGACCTTGTTTCCTATGCAAAAATGAGTCACACAAACAAAAAAGATAGGACTCAGAGGTTTTTACTGATGTTTCTACAAAGAGTTCTATATTCATCTTGCAGAAACCTGAAGTACCCCAATTTAAACTATAACATCAATAAGATTTCACTAAAAGGCACTGCATTTTTAAACAGTTACAAATAGACTGATGAATACATTAGCAACATAAATGTTGATCATAAATATTCAACACAGGGCATAAGAAATAACTCAGTAGTAAGAGTTCTTGCTGGTCTTGCTTATAAGTGGGATAATTACCAGTACTTACTTGGGGGATCCAACTCTCCATTATTCCAAGTTCAGTGTTTTGGAGACCATCTTTTGATCACTGTAAGAACACGATACCCATGTGGTGCATATCCATGCATACAGGTAAAATATACATTTTCAATAACAGTTTCAAAACATGATAGGCAGGAAGAAGGTGATGTATTTGCAATTCAATGACTGATAAGCCTCAGGCAATATTAATGTCATGAATACATGTCATCCTGGGAAAGAGAATGATACCTGATGCCAAATTTTAAAATTACACATATGACTGAAGCTCAGTACAACAGCATATGCTTGCCATGGACAAAAACCTACAGTCCAGACACACCACACAATAATATAGCAAGACAGGAGAAAGGATAGGCAGGGCTGGCAGGCAGAGAAAATAAATAGCATGAGAGTAAAGGAGCAAAATCAAAGAGCAAGAAAAGAGGGGCCAGCCACCTAACCACATAGGCAGCCACAGAATAAGGCAAATGTCTGGCCAGTCCTAGTGAACAAATGTGTATCCTAGCATCCTAGTAATTAACAGGCCTGGATGGCATATACTTATACTTGGAACATTATAGAAGCAACCCTCCCTTAGCTAAATTCTACATCCTGATTTACTATTTCTGAAGCATTGGTAAATCCTTTATATCAACAATTCTACTCTTCTAATCAGAGCTAAGTAGTGGAGTGCTACTCAACATAAGAGATGCCATTTACAATATCCACAAAATTATATACAAATGCACATTTCATCTAAATGTTAAATATGAAGTGCAGAACTTCTAGAAGATACTAGAGAAACTAGGCCTCTCCAAATTTAGTGACTTGCTTCCATGGATATACCAAAGCTTGTTGACCTAGACTAAAAAGATATTTCTACACACAGCTCCCTGCTCCCAATGCTCTACACAGAGACAGCTCAAGAAGTGAAGTTTTTCAGAGGCAGGCATCTGGGGCCAGGGAGTGTCAAGGACCACATGGGACTTCACAGGACACTGAATCTGGCAGCAGATTCCCAACAAATACCAGGGAGGACCACCACACTGGCTCCCTAGGCTCACATCCACTCCTCCCCATCTGGGGACAACAACCCCTTGCTCACCATGTCAAGGTTTTGCAGATTGTCTATGCTCCCCACTCAGCTCCCTGCAGCAGCAGTCAGAACAGCACACAAAACCACAGGAGCCCACTCTGATACATAGCCAAGCCTTCATCCTGGCCCCAAGAAGAGCCCTGCAACACATTTGACTGGTAGGTCAGAACAGAGGCACTACTTGACTAGTGAGGACTGAGTAACAAGAGCACCTCCCTTAAGGTTACAGTGTGCTTAAAGACACAGCACAATGGTTCCTGTCCATGCTTTCCACCCCAGACCCAGGCTTTTCTACATCTACAGAGATATGCATTTCAATAGCACTAGTGCCTGGCTTCAGAAGCTGACCTGCTATCTTCCTCCTGTATACAATGTGGCTAGCTAGCACACCCCATTACAAGTAGCTGAAGTTTTCCTGGTCCTGCCCAGCTCCCGCAGTCACTTGGACCCGCGTAAACACACAGAGGCTTACATTAATTAAAACTGCTCATCCATTAGCTCAGGCTAACTATTGACTAGCTCTTACACTTAAATTAACCCATAATTCTTATTTATGTTTAGGCACACAGCTTAGTACCTTTTCTCAGTTTTGCCTTCACATCTTGCTTCCTCTGTGTCTGGCTGGCAACTACTGACTCTTCCCAGAATTCTCTTCTCTGCTTTTCCCACCTATATTTCCTGCCTGGCTACTGGCCAATCAGCATTTTATTTATTAACCAGTCAGAGCAACACATTCACAATATACAGAGCAATATCCACAGCAATTACACAATGTGGAGTAGAGTTCCACAGGTCAAAGGATGCCCAAAATTTGACAATTAAAGAGAAATTTTAGGACAGGAAAGGAGATGTTTGTTCTGTGACTTCAAGCTAAGCTCAGGTGAACTGAAGGTACCTTTTATCTGGTTGTCACAGGGACTTCAGACAACCAGGAAAAAAAAAAAACAGGAACCAGATCACAACAAGATGAATGATAGGTCTTTCTGCCAACAGAAGGCTGGATGATGGCTCCATTGCTTTAGGAGTTTTCTTCTGAAATTCATTTCAACCTCTTGCCAATTTAACAATGATAAAAAGTATAGTCTTCACAATTGGTCAAATACTGAGAGAGAAATGGAGCAAGGAAGAATGCCTTTATTTGTGAACATTATTGGCAGATAACACAACTTCCTCAGTGGGCAGGTGGGAAAAAAAACCACAGCAGTATTAGTCAAGGTTCTCTTTTTGAATGGAACTGGTAGAATAAATCTCTCCATGGTAGAAAGTGGATTTATTAGAATGTCTCGCAGGCTGGAATCCCGCTAGTCCAACATTGGCTGTCTACCAATGGAAAGTTGAAGAATTCTATAGTGCTTCAATCAATGAGCCCAGATGTCTGAGATGGCCTTCAGTATATTCTAGAATTTCTAAGAACTGGGCCCTAGAGAGTAAAGGAATGACCTTCCTAGCCACAGCAAGGGTAAGCTGTCAAAGAGAAAGAACTTCCTTCTTCAATATCCCTTATGTATGTAGGCTGCCATCGGAAGGTAGCATCTTACTACCTCAAAAGATCCAGAGTAATGAAGGGTCTTCCCATTTCAAAACATTTAATTAAGTAAAACCCCTCAAAGGCATATCCTATTCTTTGTGTGTTAGTTAATTCCAGAGGTAGTCAGTTTGGGCACCAAGCACAGCCATCCCAACAACCAAGACAGAAGAAATGAGAAAGATTTCTTGCCTGCAGGAGTCAAGGAAAGCATGGGAGTTATTTCCAAAGCAATGTTGTTCCTACACAAAGGAAGCATGGGGGTTTTATTTAGGAAGTCTGGACATGTTCATGGAGAGCTCTCCTTCTTCCTAAGCATGTTCAGTTAGGAAATCCACTTCTGAACATGATCACCACAGAAAAGCAGAGAAATTGGAGGGTATTCTCACCTAAAAGTCGTGCAGAAACATATATAAATTATAAAAATGGTGTGAAGCAATGCCTCTGGCATGTTCACAAGGTCTTAGCTGAAAATCAAGGAAATGGCATTGTAAAATTAAATTGCTTTGGAGCCTATGATTCCTGTCATACATGATGTTTCACCTAAAAGACAGATGTATCAGTGCCACAATTCTCACAAAAACAAAACACAGGGGACACAAACGAGAAAACATCAAGGAAAAGTCACCTATTAGCACTGTGGTCACTCTTAGTTGGATGGCTCTGATGAGCTATTTTGAGCTTAGAAGGAGGATGCCTTTGGCTCTGTGCAGCCTGGCTCAGAAGAAGGCCACAGCTGCTTCCTTTTGGGACAAGCAGGGGCTCATTTTAATTAGCCCAGGCTGCTGTCTGTCTCAGGCCCGTGACATCACTATAGAGAATTCCATTCTTTCTTTTTTCTTTTTTAACCTGTTTTGGGTTTTATTTATGTGGGTGTTTTGCCTGCATGTGATTGTGCACAGTACCTACAGAGGCCAGAAGGCAAGAGATGTCTGGGACTGGAGTTATAGCAAAGGGTTAGCTACCATGTGCATTCTGGAAATGGAACCAGTGACATCTGGAAAAACATCCAGTGTTCTTTTTCTTTTTTTTTTTTTTTGGTTTTTCTAGACAGGGTTTCTCTGTGTAGCTTTGCGCCTCTCCTGGAACTCACTTGGTAGTCCAGGCTGGCCTCGAACTCACAGAGATCCGCCTGGCTCTGCCTCCCGAGTGCTGGGATTAAAGGCGTGCGCCACCACCGCCCGGCACATCCAGTGTTCTTAACTGCTGAGCCATCCCTCTAGGCCCTCTTTTTATTTAAAATGTATTTCTATACATTTAAACTAAAAGATATTATGTTACTTTCCCCTTTTTTCTCATCCTTCCAACCCTTCTCAAATACTTCCCTTCCAACTTCTTCCTTTTTAAGTATGTATGAATAAGTATGACAAAATAAATGAAGATAACCTGCTGAGTCTGTTTTTTGTTGGAGATATATGTATATATATATGGTGGATGATGTTGTAATAGAGAGCATAAGAAGAAATACATCAGCGGCACAGAAGAGGACTCAAACATCTATGTCAAAGATCACTATGAAAAGTATTTTCCAATAGAATGCCTTGCAGATATCCATGACTTGATATCCAGGTTCTTTTCGTTTTGAGCAGCAAACAGGGCACTTGAGCAGTCTCATTTGAAACTGATAAAATAACCTGAGTCAAAGTAACTTTGGGGGGAAAATATTCATTTGACTCATATCTTTATGGCACATCCCTATCAAACAAGACCTTTCCATTCATGTTCCCCAAAGTCTCATGTTAATCACAACATGAAACACTTTCAACTTCTTAAATCCCATAGTCTTTAAAAATTCCAACATTTCAAAAACTATATACAATAAGTATAATAACTACATACAATATATAGGCAATAATTACATCAATAATGTCTAGTCTATTAACATTTGACAAACTCAGAGCAAATACTCCATTATTTATCTTATTTTGGTGAATCCAAGTGTTGTACCTAATTCAGTTTCTATCCTAACTTTTATTACCAACCAAAAACTAGCTTTTGATGTCTCTCGAATTTAAACACTTTACACCTCTTTAGAGAGTTTCTTTTCTGAATTTGTAAACAAGGAAAGCTATAACTATCTAGTCTTCAACTCCATCAGCGACCAGAGAAGGAAGTAATATTAACTAAATAAGCAGGAAGCACAAGCAAGTGACTTCTCAAAAATGTGAGAAATGACAAAAACAGCTGACTGCCTGAACAGTCATCCAAGGTTTATCTGCAGTATTGGGGCATCCATCTTCAGCCTAAAGGCCTAGCATATCTGACAGACTTATCTGTGAAGCAGGATTGTCTGGAGGGCTGTCCTACCTTGTCTTGGCAAAGTTCAGCAGTCTTTTATTTTGTGTCCTGCTTGTCCTATTTGGACAACATACTGTCAGCAGTTGAGTCAAGGGCATTTTCTTGCCCAGTGGCTAACATTTGCCACAAAGAAAGTAAACTCCATATA